GAATAAAAGAAAATGTACTACAGTGAATCTATCTGTGTGCAGCGAGAGAAAAATAATTGTTTCTATACAGATGGTGATGGATAAAGCAAGAAAAATCTTCATTCAATTAGATGAAAGTGATAAACAACATTCAGTTTTCACAGCTAGCAAAGGGAAGCTAGAAAGATTCATGAAATGTAGATACAATAATACCATAATAACTTTATGCTTATGGTAGTAATGTTATTGTGTAGTAGTATTTTTTCTATTAAATAAAAAGGTAAAGTTCTTGTGAATTACCTACAGTTTTCATTATTTGGGGAAGAGTATGGATGGAAAGATTAAATTGTATTTCCCCCTTTTTTTACCATCAGTTTGGATATGAAATTCTGTGAGAACAGGGAATAGATGCCAGGTTTGCAAAAGAGACTGAGCTTCTTACATATGCTAGAGGCTAAGTTTATTCTGTCCAGGTGTCTATTAGAAGATTTACTGTATTAATATTTAAAAAACAAAAACCTGTTTAGAACAAAAAAAGTAAAAAAACATAAAATACCAACATTCTATGATTTGAAAAAAAAAAAAGACAAATGTAAAAGAAATAACATATCAATTGACTACTACTGGGTGTTGTTGGGGGTAAGTTCAGTGTGTTCTAGTGTTAAACAAGAATATAATTTTAGTATGAAATAATAGAATAATTTTAAAATATTTTAATAATAAGTTTTACAGATTGAATTTTATTTATTTGTTAAATCGTTAGTCTATATGTCTAAACTTGTAAAATATTAAAGTTAGTTTATTATTTTTTTGTTGCAATATATTTATAAAAAACAGGAAATTCTTCTTTAATATGTTTTTTAAATGTAGTTATCAGAATTTTTTTATAAATTGTAAATAATACTTATTTCATTATGCCAAAATATTTAAATAAGTGAAATCAAAATGTTTTCTTTCTGCTTTTAGATGTTTTTAGTAAAAATCAAAATATTCATGGTTATGTAGTTTGAATTTAATAGAATATAGAGAAATGATGACTACTATATTATCCATCTCATCACATTACAAAATCTATACAGATAATTTAGAAACAGTAGAAATAATGCAATACAAACTGAAAAATTTTGAATAAAATTATATATATAATAATTTTGTAAGTTTTATAAAATTAAGGAAATTCTCATTTTTGCAACTATAAGAACTATAACACTGCAGTAAAGAATTTTCTTTACTATATTTGAAATATTTAATATTAAAAAAACATTTGTTTGGCCAAAAAATCATTATTCAGTATATTTCATAGTATTGATTTTATTTTCAAAAGTTGGAAATTACTACTGAAACAGATGGTTTAGGTATTAGAATTTACTTTGTATATTAAGTGTACATTTTAAATAGTAAATAGTTATAAGTTTTAAATTTAAGAATAGTTACACACTAATATGAAATAGTTACTTTTGGTTTGTTTTTAATATAAAAGATATTAAGTTACTGAAAATTTGTATTCAATATAAGCCTAAGAAAGAACTTTAGTTTTTCATGATTTCCTAACTGTTCTAAAAATGAGAAAAACTTAATATATTATCTTATCTTCATGTTTTTCAAAATATAACCATTTTCAAGTGGCTAAATCTATTTAGAAAGGATGGTGAATTATCTTTTCCACTTAATGACTATATATTCAAAATTTAGTAGTATTGATAGCTGACTTTCATTGTCTGGTAAATGCCCAATAATTTATTGTTGAAAGATTCATATCTATCATATTAAACAAAATATCTTATTTGGTATTTTGAATGAAAAACTTACTTAGTAACTTGCTGGTTGAATAGAAATAATAATGTAGGGAAGGAAAAACTATGTAAATTAGTTTTGACAATATTTACAGTTAAAGTAGTTCTACTAGCTTATTTAAACTTGAATTTATTATGTTTAATTACTGTCATTGTAGATATTCTTTGACTGATAAGATGCTCTCTACATAGTGTAATTTAAATGTTAATTTTTGGCATAGATGAATTTTAGATGCATAAGTTATTGGTCATTTGCTGAAATTGCTCCTTCATTTTTTATTTTTATTTAATCTAATTCTTTATTTAAAGCATAATCCATTAGATTTAAAAAACATGCCATCAATTTGTCTTATTTTACACATCATTGTGTGATAAAACAAAATTCATTATTCATGATATGCTTTCTTATGTTATTTTTTCTCATTGTGAAGTTCTATCAAAAACAGACTTTTTGTTTTTTGAAAATTGCTATTACATCAACTTTTAATCTTTTTATAGTATTTTATAGTAGTAGTTTTTAAGATTTTAGTTAGTTGATGCCATTTATTGCGACCAAACCAAAGTGTTCATTATAATTGATTACAATAACTGCAAAAACAAAGGAAGAAAATGAAACAGCATATCCTATATGATATCAAGTGATAAAAATTCATTTATTTTTTTATTATTTAGTCTTTACACAATAAATCATTGATAGAGTATAAAATGCAATGTTTCTGCAAATGTCCTAAGACCTCCAGTGCTTGCTGCATTTCTGCAGTTGGAGGGATAGTTATGTTGATTTCCTTGTAACTTTCTTCAGCCACATTGAGTATTCTGCATCATAGCTGCTTCTTCCATTATAGCAGAACAAATTCATTCCATAAGGAGTTCTTCAGTATAGATTCCTTTTTATCAGTTTCATCCATGACTTGAAATCATACACTGACTTAATGGTAATGATTAAGTCAGTGTAATGACTTAATCATTACACTGACTGATGGTTGGGACTTAAATCATCATTTGTTTTCCTTCACTTTTTCTCCAAATGCATCTTTGTTTATAGCTCTACTAAATCCTCTGTGCTTTCAAGTGCACATTTCACAACAATAATGTGCTTTCATAGTTTAGATTATACCCTGATCACAAGATTGGATGAATGGTGTCATATTGGGTGGTAATAAAAATATGATTTTTAGGTGAATTGAAATGCTTGTCACTTGATGTACTACACAATTGTCAATCAAGAGGATTTTGTACTTAAGTTTTTCTCACTCCAGAAATCAGTCATTAAAGATTGTCATCATCATCTAGGCATTGCTATTGGAATGAAATACAATTGGTAATGATTGCTTTCCTTTAAAACAGTGAGCATGTGTACTTTCTTCTTCTCACCATCAAGTCCTTTTCTTGTGACATGCTTAAACATGTGACAGTCAGATGCTATTTGGAAATCTTAGTCTCATGCTCATTTATTTTTAAATAAGTAGGTATGTTCAAGCATAGCATGGAAATAAATTCCAGTTTCATCAGCAGTATAGATATCAGAAGGTGAACATTCAGAAAGCAGTTTGAGCCACTTTCATCAGCCTGTATTTTACTGAAGAAAAATCTGCATCTTCTCCATGCATCTGTTTATTGATAATGTTTTTGCATTATTTCCAGAAATAATACAGCATAAGTCTGTAAAATTTTTCTGACCTTTGTTTTTTTAGCAAAATCTTTAGTTTTCTAATGAATGAATGGACTCGTAATTGACATATCTTTCTCCTTATGCAATGTTACTTTTTAGTTATGTTGTTCTCATTAGATCATGCCACTTTTTCAAGATTTTGTTCTTTAGAAGCAACCATAATAAAGACTGACTTAGCATTTTTAAGACTTTTGCATAGAAAAATGCACGAATGCCTTGGAACTTTAAAAAATAATCACAGTAAGAGGCTGATAACAATAAATGTGATTTTAATAAGTGGCATCCACTGTAAATTGTTTATTTATATAATTGAAACCCTTGGGGACATAGTGTTACCACTACATGTCCCCCAAAGGGTTTCAATTGTTGAATCTTATTAAAACATCAGATGGAAGTTCAGTACAGGTAGCCCTCGGTTTACGCCGCAGTTCTGTTCCTACAAAAGCCAGTGCAAATCAAATCGGCGTAAAACAAACCCGTATTTGCAGTGAGGTATAGGAATAGGTTCTACATAAGTGAAAAATAAGCTAATAATTTTGTTTATTAATACAATATAATACAAAATACATATAAATTTTTAAAATGTATTTTATCATAAAATAAAGTAAAATGTTTTTATTTAAAAATTTTAGTTTAGAATTTCTTATATTTTTCGGAAAAAAGTATCCATCTTTAATTGTTTACATTTTTGATTTCTTTCATTAAGAATTTTGGAATATGGTCGAATATGATGCTCCTGTTTACATTTGCACTTTGCTCCCAACATTGTCTAACTCACAAACTTCATCCGTCAAACTTTCCTTAGTTGAAAGGATACGTTAACCCGACGTAGAGCTACAGACGAGCGAAGACACTGATTGGTCGACCACCGGTCGCCGTAGCGCATATATAAGGTCAGTTTGAGCGGGAAAATTCAAGGTGGCTAAGGAGAGATAAATATCGTCTGGCCAACAAGAAGTAGATTTGTCTCTCTAACGATAATTTGTGATCGCCGGAAGTGCTATTGCGTCGTAAGGTGTTTTCCTGAATGAACTGATATGGGATACATTCATTGGCGCTATGGATTCGGATGCCATTTATTGGACTATTAAGTTTAATATCTTGACTCGTGGGCATCTAAACGTTTAGTATTTTAATATTAATTTAATGCAAATGTATACATACCCAATAATATTAAACAGAAAAAATATAGTTAATAAAAATCTTTGTTTTAACGAATGTACAATGTTGCGGCTCAGTAAATACGTCAACACTGAAATGAAAATCAGTCTAGCTTAGGGAAATCAGGAAATTACACCGCAAATGGTGAATTGCGCAGCGGCATTATTGTGAATTGGCGTAAATTTAACCGGCGTAAACCGAGGACTACCTGTATTTTATTTACTGAATGCTAATAATATGGATTAGTCTTTAACATTATAACTATAAAATTATTTCATTCCAAGTTTTGTTTTGTAGTGGTTTTTTAATCCGTAACTTGACAGTGAAATTATCATAAAATCCAACATTAATTGTATAATATAATCTTTAATAAAGTTCAAATTTTAATTAAACAGGTAACTCCAAGTGTTACGTATGGTGTTCCACCTTCATATCTTCCTCCTGTCGCACCTATGTATTCACCTCGCCCAGCAACAGTTTATCTGCCTACAGCTTATGATGCTGGTGCTAGATTTGATGGACATGGAATGCCCGTAGTACCAGTAAGTATTTAATTAATTATTTAAAAAAAAACAAAAGGTACTGATTTATAATGAAATTTAAAATACCAATTAATGTTTAGAAAATATCTTTTCCAGTTTATTATTAAAATTTTTCACGTTTTAAACATTTAGGCAAAATGTCATATTTTTTGCTAAATGTTCAATATTTGAATGATATTGGATAGCTTTTTTAAGATTAAATTTAACAATTTCATTTTGCTGTGTCTAATTCTTATTTTACAGAACAATTTTATAAACATTTATGTGAAGGACTTATAAATTTCAAAGCCAGTAAAAAGTTTATCAATATTTGATTTTATGAAAGTTATACTTAAATGTGTATTACACATTTAGCTAAATTTTTATCATATTGCTTTATATGATGATTGAATTGTAGTATTCAGAACTGCAATTTTTAGAAGAAAAAAAATAGTACTTTCCAATGGACAATAATTTGGAATTTATTGTTTACATTTGTTGTAATGGTTATGATCATATAAATTCTCTTCTGGAATTGTAAAACTGCTTTTGTTTTAAAAGTATGAAGATTCAATTTAATAAAGTTGAAATTCATTTTAAATCTACTCAAAATATGTTTTTATTCATTTCTATTGTTTCTGATCATTAAATATCTAAGAATGTAATAGCATATGTCTGTACATTTTTAGCTCTAAGCAAATCTCTTATTGGTGGAACGTGATTTCTATAGCAACCAAATTCAAATCTCTCTTAGAACAATCTATTAATTGTATTATTTGTTTTTGTCATTTGATAAAATCAGTAGTGTTTTTGTAAACATAACAAAAATGATTTTTTGCTAAACCTTCTCATTGGATAATTGCATTTTGCAGTATACTTTAATTTCATATTTAATGTTATGGCCCAGCTTAATTGACTTTCTTGAATGTAAGTGAATAAGAACTCAGTTATTTCTTTGACTATGAATTAACAAAATTTACTTTGATGCTATCCTGGGAGGATATTTTCCACAAGTTAAATATCCAAATTTGCCAGATGGTGCAAATCCAAATTCAAAGATTGGCAAAATTGAATAAGTTAGTTATGTTGCTAAAGTGGCGAGAACTTTGTACTGTAAGGTCTCGTTTTATGTGGTGGATACGTTCTACAGAAAAGCGCATAAAAAGAAATTTGCATAAAAAAAGACTTTACTTGCCTTGAAAAAGTAGGGATACGTTCCTTAATTTTCTAAAATCGCATAAAACCAAAACAACGAATTAAAATTAACTTAAAACTGCATAAAAAAAGTTTGCAGAAATTAAAAGAAATAGGCTGCTTAATAAATTACTTCGAATGTCTGAAAGAAATTCATATGAAAGCTTAAAATAAACTTGTATTCAAACTTAATTCAGTTAATTTTATTGAAAAGTAATATAGTTTTACATTTTTTTTTTAATTTTTGGAATGTTTTTTAAGTCTCCAAATTTTTTAAAAATATTAAAAAATATACGGCCAGCTTCACCCTACTTTAAACCCTTGTCCTCCCGCGACGTTTATGAGAATGCCCCGGGAAATCCAACTCCAGCTGTGTTCAAGGTCATCCAGATGTATAAACTGACTCATCGGTGTTAAATTTCACAGAAGGGCAAGACAAAGGAAGTTAAACTTTGAAGCTTTTTCTTCAAAATTAACGCATTTCTTTCGTTTTTTTTAGTTTTAAGTATTTTTTATGTTTAATTACATTTATATCAAAAATTGCTAGGAACTAAAGCGATTAAGGTAGATCTAGCTGTCCTTTACATCCATAAACGTTATATGTCAGTGGAACAAATGGAGTGAGCTTTGAGCGTTCCACGATTTTTGGAGACTGTCTATACGCGGGCTTCCTAAACAAGCCTATATGTATGTTTGTCCAAAAAAAATTTGGATGAAATACAAACCGCACAACTTCAAAATCGCATTAAAAAAATCCGCATAAAACGAGACCTTACAGTATTTCAATTTATGATAATGGAACAAATTTTTAGGAGACAACACATTTTATTACAAAAAATAACAATTCCTTTTCAAAAGTTCAGAAACTGATTAAAAGTATGATATTGATATTTACAAGTGAAATACTATACACACAGAAATCCAACTTTCTATTTATTTCCTTGATTAAAGAAATAAATAAGTTGCAAAATGCTTCAAACTTTTAATTCAAAACATTTACTTTAAACACCCAAATATTCATTAGATAAACTGCAACTTGTTTCATAAATTTAGAAACTCAATAATATGCAGATTATTTTATGTATTTTGTTTAGTAATTTTGAACAGTTACTACGATTTTGAATTTGGAACCTATAGTTGTGGATGCAATAGAACACCTCCATGGAGATGTTAGTGGTGATTGTGCACATTGCCACTAACGATGATTGTGTCGTGTATATATGCAAAGGCAAACAATAGTCCTGAGACCATGGCATCCATGATAGATTGGAAGATGCCTGGAGTGGGCTTCACTCTAAATGGAAGATGTTGGAATTTGTAGAAACCACTGTGTGTGGTAATATTGCAGAGTTTCTTGAAGTGTTCTCAAATTCCACTTGAAAACAGGCATCAAAAAAAGTACTTGTGAGAAGATTTGGCAACTATTGAGCTTGAAGAAAATATCTTCTGGAAGTGTAAGGGGGTGCTAATTGAGCTGGAGAGTGCCGTTGAGACTCATTGAGTAGTCCGCACACAGTCATGACAATCCATTTGGTTTTTTGATTACTGTAATGGGAGCAGCCCATTCGACATTGTCAACAGGTTTGATTCCTATGCTCAGTAGGGGTTAAAGTTCCTCTTCCACTTTCAATTGTGAGGCGTATGGAACTGATCTGGCCTTGCATTTGTAGGTATGACATTTGGCTTCAACATTAACGAGGCTTTCATAACCTTGCAGAGTCCAAGTCCTTCCTTCCAAAAATTTCTGAGAAGTTTCACTGCAATGATTCGATTACTTGAGACACATTGACTTCTGATTGATGCTGTCATTATAGACCTTAGCAATGAAAAATTGGAAGTGGTTCATAGTATCAATCTTGAGAGGATTTGGAGAGTTCCTTTCTTGGCTACATAGAACAGTTCTTCTTTGTTCACTTTGTTGTGACAGAAGGTAGTGCATCCTTTTCCTAAGAATGGTTGCAAAAGAGTACTTCTATCATACGATTTGGCTTGTTCCATACATGGCTGAAGTGTGGGTCATCCAATGGCATTGTACATCATTTTGTTAGTGATGTTAATTTCAGAACCACCATTGATATAGAAGTTGACTGGGTGTCCATTAATCTCAATCCTTGCATTTAGTCTGCGGACATTTACAAAATTTTGGATAAAGCAAGTGTGCTCCAGAGTAGGAATTTTCTCTTATGGTCATTAACCACTTGCCGTACGAATGTTTTTAAAGAAATTTTTAATTAAACATAAAAAATACTTAAAACTGAAAAAAATTAAAGAAATGTGTTAATTTTGAAGAAAAAGCTTCAAAGTTTAACTTCCTTTGTTTTGCCTTTCTGTGAAATTTGACACTGATGAGTTGTTGTTTACACAGCTGGATGACCTTGAGAACATCTGGTGTCGGATTTCCCGGGACATTCTCATAGACGTCTTGGGAGGACAAGGGTTTAAAGTAGGGTGAATACTAGCTGGCAGTATATTTTTAAATATTTTAAAAAAATTAAAATTTTAATTGTGATTTCCGACCCCCCAATTTAATTAAACTTATATGTAATAAAATATATTAATTAAAAAAATTAAAAAACTATTTGAGGTAGTTTTTGACATCAGAAAGTAGCTTTACCTCTTAGTTGCCTAGGAGCACCGCCCCCGTACTTTATTTTACTGCCCTTAACGACCAAGGGTCATTTAAGTCATTCAAGGTCAGTCAGGTTATATTATTTTAAAAATTTGCCAAAAATCAAGTTGTTGTTATATTGATATGAAAAAAATCACATTACATTTACTAATATTTGTAGTTTTAAATACGATATTTATAAATAAAATTAAAAAATAAATTCAAAAGAAAAAAAATTCATATCAGAACTGACATCTATCTGTGAAAATTTGTAACATTTTGTTAAAATTAACACTCTTCAGTTGTGTAGTTCGTTCTTGGCACTAAGCCAGAACGATCTGAAATTTTGTTCTGTACGATTCGACATAACATTTATCAATGTATCATTTTTAGTTTTAAAAATATCACAGATTATATAAATCCTTTGTTTGAAATCAGAACTTCATTGTTCTACAAACCGACATAAAAACTAATATACGATGTTTACTTTATATCGAACAATAATATAAATTTTTGTAATAAAAATATTATTACCAGTAGTAATACATTTGACATTGCTAATATTTTAAATTAAATTTAAAAAAAAAATTTAAAAAAATATATAAAATCACAAAAATGAGGATAACGATTTAAATCGTTATAATATGTTCACTTATTATGAATAAATAAACTTATTATAGCATAAATAAACTTATTATAGTAATATTATTGCATGAACATGCTGAAAATATAATAAAAAATTATCAAAATATATTGAAATGAAGAAAAAAATCACAAAAAAAAATTTTTAAGTCAGCGAAAGCCACCTGGACGCAAATATGTGAAACAGACGGTATAGAAGACGTTACCGTCAAGTTCTGGCATCTGTTGGCGAAAAATTTTAAAATTTTCGAATTTTTACAGGGTGTCTACGAATTGACACCCTGGTGAATTTGAAAATAAAATAGGGTATCTACGAATAGACACCCTGGTCAAATAAGAAGAGACTACAAATATATTGTTTATATCAAGCACGACTAAAGGTTCCATTGATTATTACTAGCCCGTTCAAAAGAGAGTGTTTACAAACGACGATCGCGTGTTCATAAATACCCTCTTAAAAGACGTGGTGTAGTAAACCTGGATTCTGGCACTTGGATGATGATTATCTAATGTTCTGGATGTAGTAACACAGAGGGTGAACTGATTATTAAAACAGTCCACAAATGAATATTTAATTGCTTCACGGTTGGGTAACGTTCAGAAG